TAAACTGGGGTTCAGGACAGCACAGGGGGCCCTTACCCACTGGATTTCCAGAGGACAAGAGCTACCAGATCTTTTCTATGAGACCACTGCTTCATCTGGACTGCTACCACCACCCTAACTACAGAGTGTCAGGTTGTATTCTGACTCTGTGGTTTTCCTTTGTATTATTGCATTTATTTTATTTTTTCCTATTAAATTGTATTTCTGACTTGGAGTCTCTCATCAGTTTGTTTTCAAACCGTTACAACTGGGTATTTTAAATTCCCTGAGTTTGCCAATTTGGGTTGGAAAAGAACTTATTTCACAAAAAAAAACCAAACCAAAACTTAAAGTAGCTGAAAGAATGAAGAAGGAAAAAAAATAGTAAAAGTAGAGATCAGTAAAAAAGTCATTTGAATATCAGGCTATTGAATTAATTTTCAATCTAGATTCAGTTTAGAGATTTCATCTCTTTTAGCTCGTGCTTTATGTGAATGTCTGATAAGCTTATTCCTCAAGTAACACCTTCTGTTCTGTATTTTCTGAGGAAAATACACTATGGAATGTTTACTTTTGTGAACAACATGTAATTAAATGCAGAAGACCCAAGGTTGGATATGAGTCTCAGTCTAAACAGCGGCTACCTTTTCCTTCAATTTGTGTATTAGGGGTTTTTTGTCTGCTAAATCATCCTTTATAGCAATACACACAGCGTGAGGAAATGTCCTGAAAGGAGCCACTGTCCGTGTCTCCAGAACAGTTAATTGCTGGCAGAATTTACCAAATGCTACTTCCCTGTTTATAAAAGCCACAGAGGTTACTAGACCCTAGGGATCAAACGTAGATATTGCATCACATGGATGAAACTGATTTTGAAATGTGGAATTGACCCAGACTAAACTATAAATTTGTCATGTACTCTTGGCTCCCCTTATATCAGATTGAGTTTTACATCAAATTTATAAATATTTGTGTAGCTTCACAAAAGTAAAAATGAAGTAATTTTGCAATTTCTTTTTCCTATTCAGAAAAACTTTACCTCTCTCAAACCATGCCAGTATTGCATTTGCTCAGATGGGCTTTCTGAATCCTCCCTCTGTGCCCAGGTTCTGTCTTAATAACTTCTCTGGCAAAGTCCGTAACCCCTTGGTGATGGGGGGACCTTTTAGGGGAACACTGCACTCTGCCCCACGGGACCTAATTTGGGCAGAATGCTTTTCTCTGAATATAGTGTGACCTTTCCAGCCTATATACTTGTTTCCTTTTCACAAAAAAAAAATATGCAGCAGGTAAAAAGGAGAACTTGTGTGCACCTGTGTCCTGCCGGGAGTGAGGATGTGGGCACACCCAGACATAGGCACTGGAACCATTCTGACATCTGGCCCTACAGCCAAAGCTCATTGTTCTTTGCAGTCAGTGATCTGCACCAGTTAGAGTTTGCAGCGTTTTTGCAATTATAAAAATTTAGTGTCTTCTCAGCTAGGTCTTGTAGTCTTCTTTAGCTACTCCAAGCAATGAGAAGGTTTACAAGTCAAAAATAAAGACCAAACAACCTGTACTTAAGTAACACAAAAAATAAGCTCAAAAACTAGGGTGTATGTCTCAAGTCTTGCTATGTATCTTTCTCGGCTTTTTTTTGCTACGTAAGTTCTTATGTTTAGTGACTAGTTTTGCAAAGTGTAATCTTCTGCTAATGGAGTGTCCCACTACTTTGTCTCAGATTTCATCCTATAAACAATATGAACAACTTAAACATGTGAAAGCATTTTAGTTACTTTACATACCTTCTGCTTCGAAAGTAAAATCACAAGCCCTTTAGTTTGTATCTTCGATATATACATAAGTGAATGGTTGCAATTCTTCTGCCTTTTGGACTGACTCCAGGAGAATGGAACAAACCGTTGATATTCATGGGGTTCATTGTGTACCAGCTGAGGACCAGCTCTAATGACACTGCTAAACCTGGAGAACCTTACTTTCATCTGCATTTCTTTTCACACCATATAAGACTAAAATCTGAATTACGCACATGTGTTAGGTCTTTGCCCAACTTCACCTGCACGGGTTGTCCCACTGAAATGAGTGGAAAACTTCCTGGTGGTAAAGATGAACACACGAATCCCTCCGTGCTGGGCACAAGAACTAAGATCAGTTATGAAGTTACACCCCAAGGTATCATTTAGGCACTGTGTTAGATGCCCAGTGCTATGCAAAAATAAAAGCAGCTTTTTGAGTTTGGAGTCCAACTGTATACCTACAAAAAAACCCTTTAGATGTATCACAAACAAAATCTCTAACGAATTTGAAGTTACATGAAAGGAGCACACTTTCTTTGAGAATGAAAACTCAAGATTCTATAAAGCAGGTGATGATCTCAGTCTTTCAAAGAGGGAGACACAGGAGGAGGATGTGTTTTTCCTAGTTTCGACTAGGCTCTTGCTTTTGCAAAATCAAGTCCACTTGTCTTTCCATTTGTATTGTTTATCTTAGCCTAGATTTTAATAGAATTTTTACTTTTTTTCATCTAGCTATGGGTTTTAAGGCCAAGGTCTTTGTTTAGAATGCTGTCCCTCCACAGAAAGCTACTGATTTTACTGGACATTTTAAAAACAGTACAGTGTGCACAGATTTCTCTCTTTCCAGTTTCTCCTTCTGGGGGCAGTGAAAAAAATTTGGAACCATATCCACCTTTAAATGGACTGCTAGACTTTGTGATAAACCCTTATTTTTCTTCCTATCTGTACACTGGAACTATTACAGCCTGCTACTCTTTAGAGTAACCTTGAATTTTAGTATAAAAACACATGACTGAAAGCCAGAGTGCTTGCAGGGTTCTACCATTGGTGTGGTGGCCAGGCAGCAGAGCAGGTGTTCATGCAGTGCTTTACGTGAGGTCTTTTACTGGTAAACAACCAGCACTAGCCAAGTTTTTGTGGGATTGCACTTATGACCGGTCTTACAGACTTCTACTTTAAATAGCTCAAAATCCTGATAGGTGACAAATAACGTTTAACCTGAGAGATAAATACATTGTGAATACGCTCAGGTAAGAGACGTAATTTATAGATGTCCTTTCTGTTGGCACCTTATTTCAGCAGCCTTTGCACTGAGCTGCTGTTCTTGTGGGTGATGCAGACAGGGCTGAGTGGAGCTGGCGTGGAGCTCTCTGAGGTGCCTCAGGACAACAGCGACAGGACCCACCAACCTCTGCTTTGAGTGGTTTGCACAAAGCTCATACACAGCGCTTTGCGGAGGTGTTCAAACCCAAGATGGGAAGCTGGCCGGTGTTTTATTTCCTGACTAGCATCCCATCACATAGCTCCTCTTCTTTCATAAAGCAAATAAGCTAATGACACAACCTGTGTCATGTTGAAGGCTTCCGGAAAAATTTTCTTCTACATCATCTCAGGCTTCACTGCAACATGCCTGTAGGAATCCTGTCAGGGAAGGGACTGGACTCTGCAAGTAGACAAAGGCCCCTTCCTCTCCCTTTTCCACCCTATGACCATGTCTAAGGCAGGCCATGATCACAGCAGAGGACACAAGGAACTTTTTACCTTTTGTGAAGATCCATGATTGAGATCACAGAGGGGTTAAGGAGGAATTCTGTTTTGCCCATGTGTAAAACAGGGGTAATAGGTCTGTATTTGACAGCAGCACTATGGTAAGCCGTTGCTGACAGGAGGAGTCAAAGGAGCTGCAGAGCTGTAGTTTACATTCCTGCAGGGTACCTCTAGCTGTCTGGGTACTGATTTGCAGACCACACCTCATGGGGAGCAATTCTTAGCTCCGTGAGATCCTCACGCAGGGAGCCTCAGACCGGCAGCCTGCACAGAACAATCACCTGTCCACATTCCTTCAGGAAAGGCCAGGGACATTCAGATAACCTCCACCTTTCAGAGATGTTTGAAAACACTGTTGCTCCATTCCTGGCAAAACCTTTAACATTCCAGATGCTTGGCAACAAAGAGATTCTCTTCCCATGACAGAGACAAAAGCAAGCTCTTATTTTGAACTCCCACTGAAGTCTGTGAACCTTCACAGCTGCCAATAGGCTTTTGTTTTTGTGGATGTTGGCTACCAAGTTGGTACAAACTTGTCCTTTCTTAATAAGGATTTTACAGACACACTTCAAGCTCTGTGACTCAAAGCAGCAGCATATAATGGATTTCCACACCTCACCTGCAGCCTTCACAACTATTTCCAAAGTCTTTATCAACAAGTTCAAAGACAAAGTGTATTTAAATGGAAACTACATACCTACTGTAAAATATATAGACTTAAATACCTCCCCATGTTTTAGATGGGAAGGTAACTAGTACTTTGTTCATGGCCTTCAGCCATTAAAGGAGAGAAGACAGTGAAGAACGAGGTTCCTGCAAATACTGAAGATGACTTACTGTTTTTCACCAAGGTGAAACCTCGTTTCTACTGAAATAAGGCTACAAAGCATTGTAGATTAACCAGTCCAGAGCTGAAGGGATCATTATCAAATCAGCAGCAGTCTGCAGTAGCCAGGGTATCTTTTTATGACAGAAGAGTGTCAAGGAAGGACACGAAACGTCCTTCGCCTTCTACCATCCACCCGTGTGCACTGCAGGGTACTGACACCAACGCTGAACTGAGCCAGTGCGTAATGAACCATCCGCGTCCTCCCGGAGCACACAGCTCCGCAGGCTGAATTCATCCCAGCCAGCGCTTAAACTCCCTCACTTCCCTTGACAGTAATGGCCTTTGTTGGCACCGGTAATACTTAAAACTTGGGGTGGGGAGTGTGTGTCTTTTGGGTTTGTTTATTTAAATAATCACTTTTCACTCCAGTGTTTTCAGCTTTAAATTGAAATAACTGCCTGTCCCTCCTGCATTAGTTTTCTCGACACCAATAAAAGATCAGTGACTTTTTAAAGGGTGAACTTCCCTTATGTTAAAGAACAACGTGGAAAAAAGAAAAAACACACCTTATTACAAAGTTATGGAAAACAAAACAAAACAAAAAGTTTATTTCCAGATATACAAAACACCTATTCTCTCATTTCTCCATCTTCTTCCTCTTCTTCCACACCTCTGATGTACAAAACATTATTGCATCTGTAAATAGAAACAAAGAGCCCCTTCACTCTAAATGTTTTTAATTTCTCACCCCTTAGATACACTACTTTAAGCATTTTCTTGCTCGAGTGTAGCGCAGCACTAGCCAAATTCCATGTAACAAAACGCTGATCTTGACCTCATACAGTCTTCAATGAGGTTTGTAGCACCTGCAAAATCACCAAGTTTATACAAGCAGTAACTGGTTGACATTTCCATACAAAAAATTTTTACTCTTGTGTTAAAAGTGACGGTCAAGTTTTCCAAGCACACAAAATGCTTTCAGTAGCAAAACACTAACAGACTCTACTAACGCTACAGGATTAATAGATCTACAATAAACTGAGAAACTAAGGTATTTAGTTAGCTTGTTAATGCTTCTTTACAAATACTTCAAAATTAATTTTTCCTCCCCTCAGAAGGTATCTTATAGCCTTCACGTAAGAGTTACACTAACATTCAGCATCTTAGAGTAGGAACACAGCATCTAGCAACACAAGTTTTAACACAAGCGATAAGTTTTAAAGAAGCACTGCCTCCACCATAAATACCCCGATTACCTTATCAAAACTTCACCCAGGTGTCCAGACAACGCACCGTCTATATACTCCTCTGTGTTTGCAAGCTTAAGAAGAAAACCAGCAAAACTCAGAACGATTATAACAGAAGCAGCTTCGCAAAGCACACCGCGGTTTTGTCCCGCAGACCACTGCGCGGCTATAGCGCCGGGGGAGGCAGAGCGACCCCACTCCC